GCCCAACCCTGCTTTACTGAAACTTTTGCTTCATTAAATATAGTGTTTTAATGGAAGGAGCATGGCATATTTTTAGTACCAGAAACAGAAAGCATCTGGAAATTGCAAGTCAGATTGACAGAAGTAATGTAAATAGCTGATAAACACGGGAGTTTGCGTATAGGGTTTGGTGGGGGTTTCTTTTGGGGTTTTGGGTTTTTTTTTTTTTGTAGACATCTACTTCTTGGAGGCTTTGGGATGCTTTTCATACCTATAGCTTCAGTAGGACTCAATTGACATCTTAAAGACAATGTTTTACTGCATGAGATGCATGAGAAAATTATTTTGGTTGATAGCTGTTTGGGGGCAGGGAGCATATGACATTTTGCACGCATAGGGGTGAATGTTGTATAGATAATTTAGTACACACTGCATGTAGTCTATACGTGTAGTTTAGTCTATAATGACTCCTTTAGGTTGTTTGCATTGTAAATTAATGTCTTCAAACACCAAAAAATCTCCCATAGTACTTTAATTGCACAGCTGTTCTAGCAACCCAGAAGTTCTGGCTGAGTCTTTTGATAATCATCCAGTTTGGCCTTCACGTTGCCTGTAGCCATTAAACCCCGAGGAAAACCTTTAGCATCGGACAGATTCTTTTACTGTTTAAGGTAGGTCTGGGATCAGAGACAGCTGCTCTCAGAGATGGTGCGGCAGCTTTGAGAAGCATTAGTAACAAAAGGTAGTGCGATATATCTGAGGTGAAACCTTGGCTGACCTTGGTATGTTTGAATCGGTGTTTGAGTTTTACTGAACTGCACGGCAGCCTTTTATATATATACGTATGGCAATGTATTAAAAAACCAGAAAATTTTAACAGACAGATGGTGTGTTGCAAGTTTTCAGAAAAAAGAGATGGGGATACTATTAAAAGATGTTACGGCATTTACTGTAATGTGCAGAGCACACATTAATTGGAATTTAAGTGTTAGGAGCTACGTTTTAATAATACCAACCACAGCTGAAAGTGGTCTTTGCAGAGATTGTCATTAATGTGGCTGAATAGCCTCTTTAAGTTTACATTATTTTTATGATTTCCAGTGAAAGGAAAATAAAACAGGAGAAAGTTTTGGAATCTATTTTTATCCGTCTACAGGATCCTGGTTTCTAACAAAACATCATTATTCAGCGTTTGTTCATGAAAGTTACAGGAATTCCATAAGCTTTTATTCCCCCCCCCTCCCCCCCCCAAGTTTCTGACTAATTTTTTCTATTTTCTATTTCTGTTTTGGATTGATTTAAGGTATATTTTCTTTTGGTAGTTTTGTCAAGACAGCAAAACCAAATAGGGAGGGCTTTTTACCAAATGAGTGCATAGCCCTCTGGCCAACTCTCGCCTCAATTGGACATGGTTAATCTTATTTTTAATGGATTCTGAAGCTGTTTGTGCTGCCAATGCCATCCTTGTCACCTCCTCTGTATTTGCCTGCTCACAATTTGCATCTCCCTCCGGGAATCTGTCAGCCCTTTAACCACAGAGGCGTCCCATCAGAAACGCTGGCTTTCCTGACCTGGTTTCAGGTCAAGTCTTCAGGCAGCTCCAGTCCTTGAGCTGAAGCTCCTGCTAGACTTTAGTGGAAGGGAAAAAGCAATCTGACACCTAGACCTTTTGAGTAAAAGAAGCAAAAGGATGCTGCTTTGCCAGAAAACATCAGACTTGATAAATCTTTGTGCTACAAAGAGAACTTTGATGAGTTACATGGGCACTGTCAGTAGCCTGCTGTTTATTGAGCATCCCATGGGCATGTTCCCTAACATGATAGAGCTTCAGTAGCTCAGGTGTTTGAAAAATGACTATAATAAATATGCAATAGGTACAATTCTGCTGAATGTCTCTCCGAGCTCAATATGTTCATAATAAGGCCCCGGTCTAGCAAAGAGCTTACACCAAAAACCAATCTGTCCGCTCAAGAGCCAGTACATCAAATGCAGCTCCAAACAGCAGCAGACGTGCAGTCTCGTTCCTCAAAATGGAATTATCAAAATCAAAATAATCCAATTTACATAAAAGAAGCTAAATTTGGTCTTGCTGCTTGGTTTTTTTCCATGTGCTTTCCTATCATCTCCACAGGAAAACTTGCTGACGTTTTGAAAAGGGCTTTGATTCAGAGAGCTTCGATAGTCTTCAAGATTTTGATAAAGGATATTTTGCTCATCTCCTTAGTAGTGTTTGCAGCTAAGTGCGGTAATAAGGGAGCAGAGCTGTTCATGAGGAATGCGAAGAGCTGACAGTGTGCTTTGCTATCTAAGTTTGAGAGCTTCAGATCTAAGGACCAAAGAATATGAGCTAGATCATCAGTTAAGGGCTAAGTTGTCACTGACAACTGGAAATGTAGCTGTCACCCTTAAAGGGCAAATACACCCATGGCAGGGGTCAGAAAGGACGTGAATCCTGTTAGTATCAAAATCATTCTCTTTCACTGAACTTATAATAAAAGTATCTATTTTAAGTCTGTGGAGCACATTGCGGGTTACACTGTGAGATAGCCCAGGATATGCAGTGTATGCCCTTTATTAATAGGTGCTGGATGGCGGCCAGGTGACGTATTGCTGTAAGGGACTGTGTGCTTCAAACTTTGTTAGACAATCTTAAACAGAATAGAAGAATTCAACATTTTACTCATCCCAACCCAAAGAGGATGGTCTGTCTAATTTTTTGCCTTTAAAACCTGGAGAAAAATTCTGTGATTTGGAAGACCAAATTCATATTCGCATTGCCTGATTGTCCACTTCCTCTGCCCTTCTAAAAACCTTACTGAGCCAGTCCCAGATAACTTCTCTTCTGATGAATTTGCTTTCGAAAAACATCCCATTTCAAATATGTTTCTTTTTTATTCTGTGATGCATGGCTAATGCGTATCTTCGACTAACTAGAGTATGATCCATCATAGAGACATCCTATAGGTGACTATAAGTACGAAGGAAAAAGGTTATCTTCTTTTGTTGCTACGATCGCATTTCATCACCAAGAGTGAAACTGTGAGCGAGAGGTTCAGCCAGGGAAAGGAAGAAGGGAATGACAAATATGTGAAAGAGAATAAAACCAGATAGACAATCCTGTTCAGTTTGAGTTCAGAAAGAATGATGCTCTTCCCAGACAGGCCCCTCAGCAGAAGCGTTTATCAGTCTGATTTTGAGTTTGAAACGGTAGAGAGTAAAAAGCAGATGTGTTCTCATCTCCCAGAGAAATTATACAGCTTGTAAATAAAAGAGGAAGTAACCCATCTAGTAATACACCATCGCTAACTTAGCATCTTCAGGGCATTTCTCTAGCTTTTCTCCTAGATGTAAATCAACACAATTTCTTGGTCTTTCTCCTTCAGATTCCCACCTCTGGAACGCAACTACTACTTTCATATCCCTCTTCTGTTTTTCTCTTATGTGAAAGCCTGTCATTAACTTGTTTACCCACAAAATCTTCTTTGTCTCAGAGCACAATCATATTCCTTCTTTACAGAACCCTCAGACAGGATTATTCTGTCTGTTTTCCTGCAACGCTTGCCATCATACCCAGTATTTAATGAGGCTCAGCATTTTATGATAGACAGCCTTGTAGTTTCTTTCCGGTTAATACGCCATACTTCAAAATGCTCTCCTAAACCTTGTGAAGTATTTGGTGAACATATGCATAACTCCATTGCCTACGAGCAGATGTGATACCAGTCAGGAGATGCCCTTTAGGCTGAGGTCTTGTTGATACAGGATTTCCTGAGAGATCCATGAAAAATGACCCTTTTCATCATCTTAAGCTTATCATCCTGTTACACTAAATCTAATTTGTATCGGTCGGTGGAGATTTAGATTCTTACTCAAAAGTTATTAAATATTAAGCAGTAGCATAAACACTAAACATACGCAGATGGTGGAGAAAAAAGGCTCATGTGAGAGTGAAATGTAAACTGCAGTATATATTTGTGTCAGTTTTGAAATCATTTGATCTCTACACAGAACCTGTCATCCCATAGTGATACTATTTGCTGGTCGTTTCTTAGTATTTGTACCAGACTGAAAAATCTCGCCTTTTAGGAAACCTGAGCTTTCAAATTATACTGGCTGTATTCAAAGGATTGAATTCAGTCATGCAGGGCTTCTTTTCATCTGTCTTTGCCTTTATAAACTTCATCTTGAGGCCAAGGACCAAGCAGTTTTCTTAGTTTGAAAAACACTGAGTGCATTTCTTGGAAATACTGCAGCCTAGTAGAAACTAGTAGAGTTGCAAAATAACCTGAAATTGTTTCTCACATGCTTATGTGAGAATGAAGCTGAGGTTCAGGCTATTGTTAGCTGATAAGAATCATTGAATATATCTTTCCATCAAATAAATGTTATGTAGTCATTTCTATATTGGATATAAATCAGAAAAAAGACTAAAAACTAAACAGAAATGGAATATATCTCATAATTTAAATAATGCATGGCCTTTTGGACATGAAGAAGAAAGAGGAAGGAATCACCGAAATTCCATTATTCATTTCATATTGTTTAAGACAGTTAATTCCAGACAGTCTTCTTAATTCCTTAGGAAAAACTAAGTTCTCATTTTGAGCTTTATCTAAAATCCATTAAAATCATAGCGAATCTCTCTGCTGAGGCCAGTAGCCTTTGGACAGATTGTGTTATTTTGACAAGCAAAACAGTTTACGTGTGCTTAACTTCTGCGGCAAAGTAACTGAGAACAGGAATGTGCAGCCATCAACTGGACAGCTTTTAGTCTGTACTGTACCGATACAGAGCTCAAAGGCTTTGAAGGATTTACAGTAGTGATTTTCTTTTTATTCTAGGTTAATAACTTTAAATATTTTAATGACTAATTAACCGGATCAGAACCTAGTGCCATCGTGTTTAAAATGTTCAAAATAACACAAGTTTTCAAAATGGAAGTATTTGCAAAAATATTCACCTCTTTTAGTATAAGTATTTGGAAAAGATTTTTAACTATTTTGTAATGTATTCACCTGCAGGATCCCAAACTGCGCGAACTCTTGGATGCTGGGAACCTGGGAGGTCGACTGGAAAATCGAATGATAACTGTTGTCTATGGTCCAGACCTGGTCAATATATCGTACTTGAACTTGGTGGCATTCCAAGAGGATATAGCAAAGGTAATATACATTCATCTGTGTCATATAAAATTAAAATGTTTTTAAAGTATTGAGATAGGGATAAATGAGATAAAAGCAGAGATTGCTATGAAATGAAACACAATTCTGCTATAGGGCTGTGCCGCTCAATACCAAAGAAGAAATGTGCAATCATTTTTTTTTTTCTAGGAGTTAATTCCACAAATTTTTTCCCCCAGATATGTGTGCTCATCTTCAGAACATTGCTTGTAAAGCCCAAATAAGCATTGTGAAAATAACAGTACACGCAATTTTTTACTCAGCTATAAGATGTATACTGTGACTCTCCAAACACAGATCAATGTCTTTCAGTAGTTATCACCCTTTTATGTTTGTTCTAAGCGTGCGCGAATCATGGATCATCTGTGAGAACAAACTTTGTAAAGGGTTGACTTTTTAAGATTGACCTATATCAGAGTAGTGGGAATCTACAGCTCTACCTTGTATACTCAAGTGTGTCAGCAATCAGACACTTAATTTAACTTGCACACATGACCATTTCTGCTCGTGTTCAAAGGTTAATTTTAAGCATTGCATTTTGTCTGCTGATAGCCCTTGATAAGAATTGTGACGTCAACATCATTACCTTGGCAAAGTATTTTTTCCATGCAGGTATACAGTCCCTTCATTTCTGTCCAACACACCATGTAAAACACAGTTGTGTGTGACGAGCAAGTTACGATTGATATTGGTACATGTTTTGGGGTTTTTTTCCCTTCTTCCAATTTCTATATGACTCAATCGTGTTTAATAAAATGGGAGCTCTTTGCTTTATCTATTCCAAATTGACATTCAAAAGCTACTCCTCTTTCCCCTTCCATTCATGTAGATAGACTGATGACAGCCTCCAGATAACCATGCACAGAACACACTTTCGTATGGTTTGCATCCTCGAGTCCACTAGATTGCGCTAAAAAGATAATTTCTCTGTAGACTGCTGTTACTTAACAACAGTAAGGACTTATTTTGTCACCTCACAGGCAACAAGGATGGTCAGACCAGGTTAAAAAAGGTCATGGGATGAAAGCCTTAACCTGGGAGGATATAGGTTTTTCTTGTCAGGTTTCTGTATCTGCTGATCTTCATTAGCCAATGGGTCAATTCAGCAAAAACACAATTTCCACTGTTTCTTTGATATGAAAGAATAGAAACAACATGAGTTTGTGGTGGTCCACGGACTGCTGAGAGGGAAGTGCTGTCCTCCGACTTGAAAACACACAGCTATACTCTACAGGGGTGATTAAGAAATGTTAACATTGCAGAAGTGAAAACGAGTGAAACAACTCTTCAGGAAAAAAAATGTAAGCATATGATGGAAAATGAAAAGGTATGCTAAAGCTTTACCAGCAAAAATTGTTAGCCCTTACCAAGGAAGAGGGAAAATCACCTGACTCAGAAGCGTATGTCCTTCTTTTTCTCTTTCCTGTCTAGCCAGCAATCGGTGAACCATAATCTGTTTGCTAAAACAGTGCAGAAATTGGTATTTTAGGGCCATTTTCTGTTTGGTAATGGAACCGTAAAAATAATGTAGATAAAATCATGATTTAGAAGAGCTTGGCTGCTCTAAATCCTGAGTAACTCCTACGATCTGAGTCACTAAGAATCTAAGTCTTCCTTGTTATTTGTAAATGCGGTAGACCAAATAGATTCGTATTTTATCAGTCAGGCACTGTGGCCTGGGGATGGGATTTTCACAGCATTGCAGATTAGCTGTGCTTGCCCTGAAATCATGCTAAATATCCCGATTGTTTCAGTGAGAGCAGAGTTTGGTCACTGTTGAATGCATCTAAAAATCCTTCTTTCTTTAATGTGTTCTCCAACTCTGTATGAGCCAGACCACAGAATCTGGTCCTTGTCATCTCCAGGACCCATGGAGTGACTCAGAGGTGTCGTTATAAATAAGCACATCAGGGAGCTCCGAGAAGGCATGTAAATACAAGACGTTTTCAACGTCACACATGCAAATTTTGACCCTTCCTTTCGCTGATGTTCCAGGGAAGGCAAGTGCCAACGAAAAACTCCCCCACCTTTCCCTTTTCAGTGCATGAATATTTTTCAGATTAACCCTTCATTTGTGATACCTTATTTTTCAAGTTGTGTGACAAGTATCGACCAGTCCTCCCCTGGAGGAGAAAGGCAAAGTAAACTGTAACAGTCTTAGTGAGGCAGTTAAAATTATTCAATTATGGGGTTTTCTTCCTTTGCAGAAGGCTTCCTGTTCTGCTACAAACTGTGTTCATCACATCCACTGGCCAAGTTGTGGGAAAATTATGAAAATATGAGCCCTGGGCTATTCAACTTGCTCGAAGTGAACTAAATAAAGAGCTAGAAATAATGATGTAGTCGCGATGTATTGATTTATGTGCATTCCTTCAGGAGAAAGTAACTAATGTTTAAAGTACATTAGTGATGAGCAGAAGGGCACTGAGCAGCTGGTTTGTTCAAAGAATGCAGCTTGAAATTCATTAGGTAATGGTCCAAAAGGCAGATTGCTAGACACATCTTGATGATGAAGAGAAATAGCACTGATACAGTGCTTGCTTATTTTCAGAGGGGTGTGCCTGTGCCTGTCTTGGGATAGGATTTGTGAGCATCCACAAACATAGCACTGCGGAAGCCAGGATAAAGAAAGAAGTTTATTCTCAAACCCTGTTCTAAGCGGGTGCTCTTTTTCTCTGTCTCCGTTCCCAACGTGAAGAAGTACAACCTGTGAACCTCTGTGTCTCCTCTACAGTATTTCATTCTCTTCCCAAATCCAGTAACTTCAAAAGCAAACATCCCATCTTCCCCATCTCTTTCCTCTCGCTCTCTTTTGTGCCTCTCATGCCAACTCTGTTCTCACCACTCTAGTCCATCCTGGCCATACAGATCCCTACCCAGAGCTCAAGGAAATCCGTTTCTCCCCAGTTTGATGAGCTGTGGATCAGATCCATCACTTAAGAGCTGATGAATTCCTCCATAAGTAAAATGATGCAGTCAAAGATGATTCACAAGTTGTGCTATACTATGCTTTCCAGCATACGTCTTTATTTTTCCAGCTTCTTAGGCATATTTAAGAGCTTGATCAGTATAATAAAATGGTAAAACAAACCGTATAAATTCATGTCCATTTGATATATTTTTTAAAATAAAATTCAGAAGGTTGCCGAAAGCGTAGAATTTCAGCAGCTTGCTTTGTTAACCTCCCACCAAAACCAAATGTGCGAGAAACACTGCCTTCGCACGTAGTCAGTTCTGATTTGAAGGAAGTGTTTTCAAGAATGTGTGCTGTCTTTTCTTATGAAAAAAGTCTCATCTCTTCTGTTGAGATAAATGTCTTACGGTATGTATCCTGATGCATGTAATAGAGGAGAGAAATTACTTCGCTGAGCAACAGATTTCCAAATGAACTGCTGCTTATACGCTACCTGCCAAAGCACAGAACAGCTAAATAATTTGTTAGTAAAGTTCACAGGAATGATACAAATATGAATTAGTGTAACAGGACGTAGCCAAGAGGAGATCGAGTTCAGGGAGCTCTTATCATGATGGATGTGACTTGCTTGGAGTTGAATGTCAGAAGGCTGGCTTCTTCGCTACCGAACGGGATCAGAGGCTTCCAGTCTGCACACAGTTTGTTGGCGCTAGTGCAGTCCTATTTCAAAATACCCAGATTTATATTTTCCTTTTGTATTGCATTTGTACAGGAGTCTGCAGCTACTGTGGTGATTCAGAGGCTGTTATAACCTTTCCGCAGTAGGCTGTTTTCTTTCTACACATAACAGCTTTCTACCCCGCAGAGCACTCTCACCGAGCGCTGCCTTCTGGAATCGCTGCTGCTGGTAAGGACGGCTGCAGAGCGCATCATGCACGGAGTTAGAGTATGGGCTTTACTCTGTACCATGCAGCAAAACCAAGGAAACGGAACCATTTGGTAGCTAAAGCGGTGAGACGCATCTTGGCTCACAGCTTGATGCCAGCCCATCAAAGTCAGTCCAAAGCATCTCCTTTATTTCTTCGGGTCTGTGCTCAGGGCTGTTGTTTCCCCTCCTGCTGAGGGTTCAGATCAGTGACTGGAAAGATGACGTGATCCTTGGCATATTTTCTGATCTTGGTTTTTTGGCTGCGGCTCAGTGGTGGCTGGAATGAAGACCCTAAAATGGAAGAGGCAATGAGCAAGTATTGCTTGTGACTTGTTGACTTGGCACCTGTACTGTTAGAAATGGCTCAGCCTGCAGGTAGGCCTTAGAATATTTGGCAAGAGTGATGTGATTGCTTGAAGAGCCAGGAAAAGCTAGCAAAGGAACATGGCAAGACTGGTTATATAAATAATGCTTGTGACAGGCACATAATAACCAAGTTCCCCTTACATTCCTGTCAACAAATGTTCGGACAAAGAGAAGGAAGAGCTGGGGTGTGGGGTACTCCTGAAGTGGCCTACTTCTGTTTTCTACAAAATACTTCCATTTTAAGCCCAGCAGAATCAGTGAGATCAAAACAAAGTCTATCAAGACGTGTTAAAAGCCAGCGTATTTTCCTAATTTCTAAATGATATTTTACGTTGCCATTAATCTTTGCAGCCGTTGGTGTCACAGGGAGAAGTTTTAACTGCTATTATTAGAGCCTAAACAAAGCAGTGTTTACAAGATGAGCCTATTCTGAGCCTGGAAAAATGAGTTGCCAGGAAGAAAAAAAGATGCTGTACTTAATACACTCTTTGTTCCAAGAGTCACAGCAAAGCAGTGGTGTTGCTAACGAACCCAACTCCTTCTCTTGTTCTTTCTCACACCCCTGTTTTTTTCAAATTAGACCTAAGAAGGAAAAACAAGTAAAGAAAAAAAAATTGAAGTGGTCACAAGAGGTGGAGGGGAGGAATATCTCAGCAAGAGCAGTTTACCTCTAGAACGAGTAGTCTGTGTCTGAGGGAAGAAGGTTTCTCTGCCAGAAATACCAGTCACAGGGAGATGTGTTGTCTCAGCTCCTTAGGTGTGAGGTTGTAAATGGGGTGGACTTAAGGATCTGGTGGTTGAAGGATATCAAAGGCTCATAACAGTAGGCATATAGGTAGCCTTATCTCTTCCTCGTTGGGAGCGACTGTGCGAGACCAGTTTCAGGAACAAGGTCTGATAACTTTAGGGAACAGATCTTAGCACGTTAAAAAAAAACATATAAAAATTATAACTTCTGAACCTCTCTCAAATTGATCACCTAGTCATGCAGAAACTTGGGGCTTTTTAGGTAAAACAAGCTCGTGAGCTCCAAAGTGACGTAGCAACATTTGTTTCACTGGACGTCAACATCCTTATCAATTTTTGTCAGAATGAAATCGCCTTTTTTTTGTACTTTTCCTCAAGAAAAAAAAAAGCCAAGAAGAGGGAATACCTCCCAGAGAGTACGCATCCGGGAGGGTATGTGGTGATGGGAATTTTGGATCTGGACTGATATGAAAGGCAACTCAATTTTAGTTTCAAAGAAAACTCAGAAAAATTCATCAAGTAAAAAAAGAAAAAAAATCACATTGTTTGCAAAGGCATTGTTTATTTTCGTTCTTTTCTTTTAAAGGGAACAAGAAGAGGGAATACCTCCCAGAGAGTACGCATCCGGGAGGGTATGTGGTGATGGGAATTTTGGATCTGGACTGATATGAAAGGCAACTCAATTTTAGTTTCAAAGAAAACTCAGAAAAATTCATCAAGTAAAAAAAGAAAAAAAATCACATTGTTTGCAAAGGCATTGTTTATTTTCGTTCTTTTCTTTTAAAGGGGTGAAACAAAGCCAATCCAAAACCACAGTTGTGATTAAAAAGGATTGCAATTAAAGATTGCAAATAAGCACCAAGTTAGCAAGGAAAAATGAGCTGAAGTTGTCGATGAAAAGCTGCAGGAGAGACCTGCAAGGGAGGAGAGCGACAGGACGAGCAGTGAGAGTCTAAACTTCAGATTATAATCATGGATCAGCCTTGCTGGGAACCCGGGAAAGGGCAGAGACCTTAGAGGAGGACTTCAGCAATATGCATAGAAATGAGGAAAAATAAGTCAGGAAAATAAAGGGAGGAAAAGTGAGGGAGAGCCATGGGAAGAGCAGTGCCTGCAGGCGGAGAAGGGAGGTGTCCCGTGAGCAGCTGGAGGACATTTCTTCTCTCCGTCAGGGTAGCAAGAGGGAAAAATAATTTAGCGAGGGATAGGACCACAGTGTAAGGATGTACGGTAGGGGAAAGAGGAGCTTTTCTGTTTGCAGTTGCATCTTCTTCCCAGTATATCAAATAATTTAAGTTTATTCCTATATATTTCTACTGGTTTGGTTTTTTTAAGCGTGTTTCTTATGTTAGCTGATAAGATCTTAGATAGTGTCAGTAGTTACAGTTCTTAACTCGGTATCCACCATAAAAGATAAGGCGTGATATTTGTTGTCTGAATTACTTCATGGTCTGTAGAGAGGGTGATGCGGAGGCTCTTGCAACAAACTCTTACAAGAGGGGGCGTTGGAGCAAGAGACTTACTATGGTATGGTCTGTATCCCACCCTGTCGGGTCTGTCAGTCTTCAGAGGGCTTTAAGCCCATTTCAGCTTTGTTTTACGAGAATGGTGGTAAGGGGCTCCTTTTTTAATCCTTAGTGTGTCAACCAGAACAGTGTCCAACACACAAGAAAATGTATTTCTCTGGGGCATTTATTTTGCATCTCCCACAAACTTGAATGTGCTTTGCATCAGACATTTATCCATATGATTTTTTTTTTCCCCTAATACATTGGAATAAGATATCTTTTTAAAAAAATATTTGTAACAGTCTTCATTTTTTGCAGCATAAGAAAATCAGGTCTCACAGATGAGGAAGGAAGCTGTAATTGGAAAAATCAAGTTCAGACTTTATTAGGCACTTTTTACTAACGATATAATTTTCAAAAATATTTTTCCTTGTGTAAGTAAACATCTAAACTAAGCCTCATTTAATCAATTTTTCTCTCTATAGGAATGGTCAGATGAAGTGTTCAGTTTGGCAACAAATCTGTTGGCACAGAACATGTCAAGGGACGCGTTCCTGGAAAAAGCGTAAGTGGCCATAGTATTTAATGCTGTGGGTGTTGCTCTTTTCTCTGCGTCATTTTCCTCTTTTCTTGTTAGTCACATTGTCATCTATTGTTTCTGCTTTGATGAGTTGTCACTTTTCTAAACACAGGCTGTCCTTTCTCATGGTTTTAAAAAGCCTGTTATCTAAACGTCATTTAAACAAAAATCTTGTTAGGGTTCTTCTCGCAAACTACTAAGTCGTAGCAAAAAACCAGAATTAAATGCCATCTTTCCCTTGTATACCAAATTAGTAGCTTCGGCTGTAGTCTGAAGCTCTCCGTTTAAAATGAAGGAATATTCTGGACTGACTTGCTTCTGGTTTATTTCCCTTTTTTTCTGTTACTGATCAAAAAATGAGAAATGCAAGAAGTCCATTTTCTTCAGTCTAATCTCTCTGGTTTTCATGTGATTCAGAGGGAAGCTGTGAATCTGTTCATCTAGATTGCACTGCATAGCGCAGATTCTGAGTTGTTTTCAACAAAGTACGAAAGCTGTTTATGAGAACGTTTGGGGTGTAAAAACACACCTCCAAAAAGAAAGAGAACTAAACCTGACATTAGCGATTCTCAACTGGATGATAAATGCACGTGCTGAGGGAGTTTTGCGTAAGTGATAGCGTTGAGAACAGCATGGCAAAGCCTGCCAGATAACGATGGTACGGAAACGGGGTACTTGCTGGCCTTTTGGGGTTCTGAAAGAGAAGCTATACCCTCCCCAGCCTACGAGTTGGCTGGTTAAATTCAGCTTTGTGTCTCCCCCAAACACCTTTTAATTTCTGCTCATGGACTGAGGCTGGGTGCAGCTAAATACCAAGCTGGGGCTTAAGTTCCTAAAACTTGCCTCCATCTGAGAAGCAAGTTAACTCACCCTTTTCCTGGAGTTTCTAAGGCTGCGCATGCCTGATTTCATTAGATGCACTCATATTTAGTCAGAAGGTTCCCAACTGCTTAATTTTAATCCCACCTACGTATTCATAAGTGCCTGTTCTGGGAGGGGTGCGGGTGTGTGTGTTTCCTTCTCATAGTGTTTGTTGTGGTGCAGCTGAAGTCAACAGAAATTCTTGAAGAAACTTTGAAGGTTGGACGTTGCAGGAACTACAACTTTGTGTCTGATAACGCTGTGTTGGGACAGCAATGATATATTATGCAAACAAAATCCCAAATGGATGGAAACATTTAACATTTCCTTTTTGCTCCACATGTTGACAGTGGAGAAAGCACTGTGCTAACCTGAGCAGAGCCAGGTGTGAGAGCAAGAGCAGAGATGACTTCCTTCAGCTCCATAGGTTGGGATGAGTTACGGGAGTGATTTGATATTGCTATTTCCATGCCCCTTACCACTCAAATCCCCGGGTAGCCAGCAGACCTTGCTGACAGGTCTGTAATGGGGAGGATTGTGGCTGTACCTAATGGGCATTTTCATATCAGATTCAAAGGAGGAACGTGTTATCACACAGTATAGTAGAGCCAGTCTTATTTGGAGCCATTTTTCGGTGGTTGTTCAAGCAACATTAATTAAAGATGAAGTCACTGGACGCATTGCGTAGATTCAGTAGCAGGCAAGCAGGGCATTCCTGTGTCTTTTTCTTTTTCCACTAATTAATAAATCACTTGGGAACTGCAAGGTTTCCAGGGTCCTCTGCACAGATGCCAAATCACAGTCACTTAAGAAATTTTTGACTTTGAAGATTAAAAATACTTCCCCATTATAATTACTGTACTAAGCAAAGGGTTGGTTGCAGTCCTGTCAGAACCCTTTTGTTGAAATAGAAAGCAAATTGCGTTAGAGCAGAATTAGAAAGGCTTTTTTCTTTGCGGCGTTCAGTCCCTTGCAGCATTGGAAGTGCAATAATAAACAGCTTGAGCAGCTCTCCCGTGGTTTGGTCAGATGAGAAAAATAGGGTTAATTTGGGAGGAGGGGTGGTTAATAAAACCTGCCATTTTGGTTATAAAGTGCTCATTCTTCTGTTGGAACCACGCGGTGTATTTTTGTGTTGGGGTGCAAAAATGGATGGTGGAGGACATTAGCACTGAAATACTGACCAGTGCAGTCATGAGCAAAGGGTGATTCTACTATGGAAACCTTGGGTCAGTGTTAGGTCCAAAGTTTGTCGTTCCTGGAGTCAGCACTGCACTACTGAAATGAGTCCGTTTGGCTGCTACTGATGGGGACTAGCTCCTAGCAAGCTTTTTAACAGGAATAACGTGCTTGGTTTTCTTAGATGGATGGATAATGGCTGCAGGGGAAAAAATACTGTCCCAGGTGTAACAAAGAATTTGGGAGGAAAAAAGGTGGCAAGTACTGGTGGGGGTTGACTGTTCTTCAGACATCTTTAGTTTGCTTTAACTGAAGTTCGGAATTCTTCCTCCCCCCCATTTCCTTTTATTTCTAGCTTTCTTGGCTGTAGAGGAAAATATTAAATGTGACCAGAATGTGCTTAAAAGTTTCAAAAAATAGAAGGCAAAATAAAAGAAACCTTTTTTTACTAACCATTGTGATTATTTTTTTTTTAATTTATTTTTTATTCTAGCTCAGTGCTGGGAGATGGGGGCAGAGGGGATAATATTTTTGTTTGGTGACACAGTAGCGCAAGAGATTTCAGTTTCCAGAAGATGCATATGAGGAGACAAGGATTTGTGAAAATGTTCCTATCCTAGTTAGGGATATTAGCACGTACTTTGTTTTTGAAGCAGTTGCTAATGGCATTTTTGGTTGGGAAGAAAAAGAAAGTTTATTAGAACCATGCAGTTTCTTTTTCTTTTGGTAGGCCAGTGGGTAAAGTGAACAAATTTAAAAAACAAATAAATAAAATAATCCTCTGAAATACTTGTGTTGCCAGATTTTTCACCAGATCATATTACTGCAAAACTCATTTATAGTTTTAATAATATTCGAGTGGAAGAGATGAAGCACTCAAAAAGTCATGCTCTTTGCAGGCTGCTGCTGGTAGACATTTTGCTGGTAAGCAGTAGTCCTCGCCTACCGGGAGGACAATCAGAAAGCAGCTGTAGGCCCAACCCCTTCTCATCGAAGCTACTGGATGACTCCTGTTTCAGTAGGCTTTGAATCAGTAAGTTGAAAGATTTGGACAAAGGAAAGTACATCCTCATCCTGCTGCTTTAATGAGCATGCAAGAAGAGTCACAGGTCCTGAGATACTGAGATGCTCTAAATACTCAGTTCAAAACCTGGATAACTGCCTGCCTGTAGGTGGTTTCAGCGTGTAATTTTTATATTGCTTCGCACTGGAAATGTCTTGGGCTTGCCCAGGGCCGCTAAATATACAGACACTCTTGCTGGTGCAGAGACATTTCAAGTTGCCAGCGATTTGACTTCCTTCCTGAGGAGTGACAACATTTAGGGTCAAACGGAGAAACCGTCATAGATGTGCGATGGGGAGGGCTTAGGGAGGCAGGGATGTTGGTGTGCAACATCCAGGGATGGTTTCAGCCCCTGGAAGAGGAGGAATACAGCCACCTTTCCAGTCAAGTTGTGTAGCCTGTGTGCCACAATTCAGTCTGCTGATAGACTGGCAGGCAGTCTGAGTGAGAAGGAGCTTGGGAGGATGATAAATTTGTGCATTAATGGTATTTGCAATCTCCTGTTGCAAGACGGACACTGTATTTGACACTACAGGTTCATTACTGTTGATGGAAAAGGTATTTACTGATTAATGGTATCCCAACAGGTTTTCATATTGGGCAAAAGAGATGAGTGGAACTTGCCACCTGATCAGAACAGTGGCATTGAGCTATAAAGTTGGTGGAGAGGTACTTGAAAATGCTGTAAAAATAAAACAGGATGCTTTTCTCTCCACAGTTACACAAAACTTAAGCTGCAGGTGACTCCAGAAGGGCGCATTCCTCTGAAGAAGTAAGTTCTGTTCCCCTTCCTTACCACATAGCCTCCTGTGACTTTTTAGTGTGAATATATGTTTGAGATGTCAGAGACATGTTGTGAGGATAAATACATTCAAATTGCATATCGCTGGGGTAATATGAAGAGAGCAGTGATGACTTTTTCAAATAACGATCTGCTGTAATAGGGGCTTGCGTGGGGCAGAGTTAAACTCATCATGGGCACCGTTAAACTCGCTTGTGTTACCAAGCAGCCAGCCAAATGGAAATAAATAGCTAAAGATGCGATAGACTGGGAAGTGATATTCAGCCTTTAAGCCACATGGGCCATCAAGGCATGTCTGTAAGCCAATTCGCTCTGGTTTGTCTTCGTTTTGCAGCATATACCGCTTGTTTTCCGCTGACAGAAAACGAGTAGAGACCGCGTTAGAAGCTTGTAATCTTCCATCTTCCAGGGTAAGCATCTGAATTTATTCCTGGTCCTTACAAAGTGTTGCTTGTATTCGGCGGTGTTCACTCTCTATTGAGTTGAGGACTGTTTGTTCAAGGCTGATCATGCTGTGCTGGCTTTGCTTCTGGATAGGTCCTCAGCAGCAGGTCTTTCTTTCCCACGCAGAAGTTCCTGATACTCATCTGCAAATCTGAGTACCTTTGATTTGAAATTGTGTAGGGACCAGGAGTGCCTGCAAGAAGTGCAAATGGATTAAAGGAAAGGGCAGGGGGTTGTGTGACCTGTCCTGGAGAAATCCTGTGAGAATATTTTAAGAATCGGTGACTGTCGCACAATTTTCAAGGCATGATTTCAGAGCAGTCTTAGCTCGAGGTGTAGCTAATGGTGTTATCTGTTTCCTTCTCACAAAAAAAAAAAAAAAAAAAATTCTATATCTTGAGTTAAGTGACAATTTAAACTCACTGTAGCTTATCTAAAAGGTGCATGGAGTAATTGTTGAAATGCTGTAGTGTCAAAGCTGTTAATGCTGCGGGGATGCAGCCATTGTATGCTGCTAATCCAGGAGCCCTCCTCAACCTGGAGGATTTGCAGGATGGTACCTCACCCTCAAAAAGGCTTTTTTCAAGAGGAATGAGCTGGAGCAGGTAATGCTAGTTAACGCTGGAGTGAAGATGTCCGTAGTCTTTCCTCCCAGGTGGAGCTTCTCCTCCAGGAAGCTTCTTGCAAGATAATTCCTACATTCAGAGGTCCAAGAGGTGGGGCAGAACTAGTCTGCAGCAGAGGAGAGCCTGCATCTCCTAATCCCTCTTATAGAAAACTGTGCTGTGATGTTCCCTCAACCTTTGCTGCTTCCCCAATGGTTTCTTAATACAGCCAATTCCTACAGCTCCAGAAGAGCAATGGAGCAAAATCTTCACAAGCCAAACCTCAGATACCCCTTACCGATGAGACCTTCCTGCATAGGTTTGGGAGCTTAATTCCATAAAATGTCTCTAAAGTAAGTATAAAAGATTATAATAATCTTATCTAAAGTAAGGTTGTGAGGTTAGCAACATGGAAAGAATAATTTTAAAGATGCGGTTTCGTTTAATTGTTAGCAAACAAGATAAGATGTGCAAAAAATCACTGAAGCGTTGCTTTTTAAATCGGTTGATTTATTACTTCTCTTTACTACATATCTCTGAAAAAAATTCTAAACATCTCTGGAGTCCTTGAAAGAAACTGCAGCCTTTTGCTGCTATTTATTTAAGTACAGTCAATTTTACATACACATTGCTGGATACTTGTTGCTGGGATACCATCTTGAAAATTATTCATAGTGTAAAGTAGAGCTTTTCTTTGGTTGGGACGAAAGAGAAATACGCTTCATGGAACAAGGAAAACTGTGTGGATCACCTTTGAAAAAAAAAATTTTAGAAGCTAGGTGCTTAAGAAGCATGAAACTCTGAATCTCATAGAGGTAATGGAGTAGAAGAAAATCAGTTCTTCAACTACAGCTCTTTTCCTTTGTGTTCCTGTTTATTTGAACAAGTAAAATTCTTAACTTCAACTTCCAGCTTTTTTGCCTCATTGTGCTACAGGACAAATGGTGTTCCTGTAAAGCCTTGAAGAGCACTGGACTCCCAGCAGCATGGAAGACATGAATATCGGGGAATCTTGCTCAGTAAAACCACACCAAATTATTGAGAGAATTCATGAAAGTCTCTCGTGGACATTAACAGCTTAGGCTTTTGGGGTTTTTTATTCATGCCTCATGAAGACCCCTCTAAGGGTCTTCTCTCCAAGTTTCATAGAAAAAACATACTTCTCATTGCTTAGGAAGATATGGGGCTCACTGGCCATGAGTTTCACGTGTTGTTTTACTGCACCTCTCACAACCTGTGGATGACCCTAAAACACAAAGTGAAATTCACAGTCGTGGGTAAGAGGATTCCAAGTCAGCATTTATCACTCTCTTCCTGATTCATAGCTCCAAGGCTGGGACAGTCCCTCATCTATCTTACGCAGTGACCTGAGCATAGGGCAGCCTGAGCTACGCTGCCAGGGTATAGTATCACTGCATGGACTTGTCTGTGATAGTACAAACTTCAGCATCCACTGGCCCCGCTCGTTAGCAAATTCCCTGTGTGTGTGCTTGCCAGGAGACCTTGCGGGACAACGTGTAGGCACTGTATTTAGTGCGAGACGAGGAAGAGTTCTCATTGCCTGGATAATTGCCTTCATCCTGCTGTGGCAGAATAACACCAGAGAGGCTCCCCAGACGTGCTGAAAATAAACTCTTTATTTCATATTTAGGGATCTTAATAAGGGATGGATTCTCTGCAGCGCTGAGCATTCCAGCCCTGATTCGGCCAAGCAGTTGAGCATGACCGCAGTGAGATGACCCATGGTCTTCAAGTCAAGCACATTTTGAAAGCGTGGATTTATTTATTTATGTATTTCTGGGTCAGACCTGGCATGCGTAGAGTCTTGCAGGACCAAACCCTGCGGGATCTGATTTTCGGCAGCATTCATCATCCAGCAGATCTGAAAGCAGAGGAATGTTTAAATGAAGTTTTAAAATATGCCAATGAGTTTTTTGAGTTCGGCATCTGATTGCCCTATGATTTTTTTTAAATCTTGGCTACTTTTGGGAAAGGGGAGGGTGCTTTTTGTTATTGTTGGGTATTTTTGTTTGTTTTGGTTTTAGTCAAAGGTGCCTTAAATAGAATTTGAAGAGCTTTATTTAAGTCGCCTGTTTGGCTGTGAAGACTGGTTTCTGCCTTCCAGTTAGTGTAGAGGTTCACAATGAAGCACCAGTGAGCTTGACTATGAACTTAAAATAAAACCACCATCTATTGAGTCCCGTCTGTGCAAATAATCTGAATTAGCTGTTGTGCTGCCGAATATATAACAGACTGGATACAGATGTTATAAAAGCAGGCAGGTTACAAGAGAAATCATAAATCAACAGTGCTTGAAATTAGTAGAGAGTCTTAATCACAGAATAAAATCGAACACCAATATTCAGCAAAGCTGGAAATGAGGGATGCTCTCATGTGGTGCAGAAAGTTTGTTATTTGTTCATTGGTCTCAAAAAAGAGATTAGCGCATAAGGTGTGTGGGTGGTTCCAGTGAAATGTGGATGGCTCGGACCAGGCTGAGGAAAGGGGCAGCATATTTTAATCCCTTTTGGCAGGCAGGCTTTTGGAATCCAAATATAGTTGTCTGAGGTTGTGCCTCGGGTGGCAAATACTTGCAGCAAGGCTTTTGTCTCCCATCTAGATCTCTGTGTTTTGTAGCCCACCGGTTACGTTACCGGTAGGAAATAATTATTAAAAGGTTCTGTACTTATGCCTGAAGACTTGTGTTTGTTATCCTTTTTGTAGATAGGCGTTTGTAGCTATGTGTTGGGAAACAGGTCTATTTTCTTAATTGGAACCAAGTGGCAAATAAAAGCCTGGATCTCGGGTTATCGGAAAAGACCCACATTTTGCTCAGTGTTGAGTGCCTTTAAATCCCCTGTAAAGGAAAAAATATATTAGGTCAATGCGAGACTGTAATTCTGTGGTAATTACAGAATCAACATCTAAAATGCCCTTAGGAGAAGTGCTGGCTGAGGAGCAGTAGCCTGCTGAATAGAGATTATAGGTACAGGGAACAGAGGAGAGTGGGGTGCCGACTACAAGAAGAAAATTCACAAGCTTTATGAATCCTGACCTTTAGGGAAACACAAGTATCAGCAGCCCTAGTCTCAACCGAAAGCACCGCAGCTCAAATTTATCAAAGTTTAGGAGGCGCAGTTTCACACATAGTTCTGTGTCGCTGATGGCTATCGCTGAAAGGAGCTATTTCCATCCTCCAACTTCAGGTTACAAACTTCTCCATCCACCCTTGCAGTGGATTTAGCAGTTGTGCTGTTGGCGAGTTACCTGGCTCCGAGAGCTGATCCCACGGTAGAGTGCACAGGGTTTTTTTGGCCGGTAAGTTTTGGACCAGTTCACCCTGCGGGCACTCGCGCAGTCTGCCAAAAAAAGGAAGGCACAAGGGTCTAATGGCTGGTGACCTTAGACTGTTGGAGCTTGGAGGTGGGTACCCAGGTGGAGCAGGGAAGCAGTCCAGCTCAGTCCGAGCATGAACTGGGTCCGCTTTAGTCTGCGCTTGCGGACAGAAACGCTGAGCAATGGTCACGGTACAAAACCCTCTCGGGCCTCTGCAGGTTTCATAGATGAAAGGAGAGATAGAAGTGATGCCTGTGGCATTGACTTGTTTATTTACTTTAACCTAAAGTAGGAAAAATATTGAAAAGTTTCCTTCCGTCTAACAAAGGCTTGAATCGACGCTTCAGGTTCCCTTGGCAACGGTGTTAAACAGGCAGAATAAATAAAAGCAACTATTTCCTCTATCAGCAGCTTGCTTCTAAGATGACCAGGTTCAATGGCATTTAAAAGCAAACGGCTTTGTGTCCAAGTTACAATTTTCCTCCTCCAGTTCACCAGATTCAGGCATTATTTTGGAGCCTTGGAGAGGCATCATGTGGGTCCGTGGTGCTCCCGGAGACTACATGTCATAGCTTTTGATAAAGTTAGCTTGCATGGAGGAAATGCAAAAATCAGATTTTCAGTATTTGCATTTCACTTTTTTTGTGTTTTCCTTTTTCTTGTTCCTTTATAAGGTTTCCTCTCCACAAAATACAAGCTTCTGTGCCATTTTCCTTTCTCTGCGCACTGATGCAAAGGCAGAAGCCAGTGAGCACACCGCTACTGTTCTGTGCTGAAAACAGCTTTGCACCTTCCTTGGGGTCCTCATTTCTTCCCAGCTCCACTAAAGAAGCAGTCCTTGCTGTCTTCTGCAAAAACTCTGGAGCTTGAAGGCAGCGTGTGCAAGCGGGAGGAGGACTCTTGAGCTTCATGCAAAGGACTGTTTTCCTTATCCAGTCCAGTAATTCCCTCCAGTTAAAAACAGTAACTCTATTTTTCCAGAGAAAAGCCAGCAGGTATAATGGGGATGATGAGAGTGTCATCTCGAAGCAGGATTAAATGTAAATTGTTCTGAATTTTAGAAAAAGTAAGAAAAAAATGCTGGTATCTCTTCTATCGGAGAGCATTTTTATCAATTTCTGTAAAAGAAATCTGATTGCCAAATGCACCACACTGAGTGTTTAGGACAAAAATGTATGGAGAAGCTACACTGCATGAGTCTTGCCCAGAATCGCGGTATCTTGAACGTGTACCTTCAGGAAGGAAAATAAAACATTTCTGCTGCTGTCAGAGAGCAAGTGTATTAATAATGACTCGGTGACCCAGTTCGTTCCCCGGTTCTTTGAAAGCCTTGGGAAGATGAGTAACGTGCTCGTCCTCTGTAACGCTGCCTTTTTGCTCGCTGAAGCAGACGGGCTCAGCACCACTGGTCAGCCGCCCTGCCGGGATTGAGTTCAGAGGCTTCATCAGGATTGATATACCTATTTATGCTACAGATAATGGGGTTAGATGGGGAGATGTCCTTTCTTTCTTCTTCACAGGTGCTCAGAGAAAGGGATAACTTTGCCTTACGGAAACTAAGATGATGGATGCATTTGTATTTTTTTTTAAAGATGTACTCTTTAAGCTGCTCTGTTATGCAGTGGAATTTATTATTCTGCAAAATCCAGGTTCCTGTAGGTTGCAGGAAGGAAATCAAAAGAAGTGCAGTAGTGAGTGATCTGTTTACAAAGAGCGTGTGAGAGTGCTGTATCGTTCTTTCACTGTTTTTTCCCCGTTTTGCAGAATGATTCAATCCCTCAAGACGACTTCACGCCAGACGTGTACAGGGTGTTCTTAAACAACCTCTGCCCTCGGCCTGAGATCGACCACATCTTTTCTGAGTTGTAAGAAAAGATGTCCATTTATTTATTTATTTATTTATTTATTTATTTATTTATTCCCCTTCACTGATTTTCTGGGCTAGGGATGGCAAAGTAGGTTATTTAGACTACAGCACCGTGCAGCAATTGCCAAGAACAGATTTCATTGTCAAGCAGGGCTGTTATTTAACCTCGGATCAAGGGTTCCTTCTCTCCCAGGCTTTTACCTCCAGTTCTAATGGCCGGAGTTTTAAAGTAATTTGTTCCTAGAGGAGCAGAACTGCCGGGTCTTGTTTTTCTATACGGATTAGGATAGTTTAGGTTTCCATGAAAGTAAAGGAAGAAGAGTAATAAGCAGTAACAGCGTGCAGTAGGCATGAGAATATGTATAATCACCCCCAAAAGCTTAATTAGGAGTTGCAAAAAATGCAGTAACTTTTCGGATTTGTGCATCATGAATTCACACCGTGAAATTAAATTAGCAGCCAGCTACAACTGATCTCATACGTTCGGTTACAAGCTATATAACTCGTGTTGCTTCTACCCCTTGCAGCAAGTCGTTGTACTTCCCAGTTTCAGCAGAGCCTGATCAATGGAGTCAGAACATGAAGCAATATGAAAGCAAAAGTAATTTCCAAAATACATCCCAAGATCACCAAAGCAATTGGTGAACGTATCTTTGCAAACATGGGTCTGCTCACGTACTCCTTTTGTGCTTATTTTCTCTAAGGTTGAGGTTTCAGAGGAGCACAGCCTTGGCCTGGTTTGCTCCCATTGAACCCGGGGGTAGACTTTCCATTGCCCTCTCGCAGAGTAGAAGTAGGCCAGTCCCGAGTGCTGTAGACAACCCTAAGCAAGTCACCTGGCTTGGAGGCTTCCTGGATCTCCATCTGGGTACAAATTGTACCCAAACTCTGCTCTTTTTACTCACTCTCTAAATAGGCATCTTTTTGCTTGCTTTGCAGAATGCCTAGCATTTTTTAGCAGGTTTATAAAAAAAAATAAAACAGCAAATGCTGAAATAATGAAGTCAGGGCTGCTGTTATTCAGCAGTAAAACCAAATAGTTGGGCCAGGAATGCCCGCGGAGTGTTTGTGGGAAGCTCAGGATTGAATTCCACATTGTTTTCTCTTTTACTTTTTTTAATTGCTTAGTTCCAGGAATTCAGAGGAATGAAAAGCTTTTAGCATTGCTCTAACTCTTCCCATTGATGTCAATAATGCTGAATGCTTTTAAAAATCTTACTCCTGGGTGTTTGATGAAGAATGTTTGTCGTTATATACTGACAAATTAGTTTGAAGACACAGTGGGACAAAGTTTTTGTTGTAGGATAGTTTGACTCTTGTTTCGGTTTCCCTGGGAAGTTACAGAACATTGAACAAGATTTCAAGGAAATGTATTTTAATGGCTTTGCTGTTGCTTTAATTTTTCTCCAGTGGTGCCAAGAGCAAACCATACCTTACTGTTGATCAGATGATGGAATTTATAAATTTTAAGCAACGTGATCCACGATTAAATGAAATCCTCTATCCACCGTTAAAACAAGAACAAGTTCAACAACTGATTGAGAAGTATGAACCCAACAGTAATCTAGCAAAGAAAGGTCAGTGGGTTTTATATTCTCGCTGTACTCGGTTTCTGATTTGAAACAATGACTGAATTATCCTACAGTGCATGCTAAAGCAAAATTTGGTTCAGAATCAAATTGCATTTCCAACTGTCTGCTTTTGGATCGTACAAGCCTGTGAGACATCGTGTGGTTCATTTTTAAATGTATTTGGTTGGGATCAATTTAGGAAGGATGGAGCTGGTTTCAGTATTTAGTTTTCAGTATGTGTAATTGATAGTTTAGAACAGTTGCTCTGGTATGCAAACCTCAACAGAAACCTTACTATCACAATGACTATTTACCCGCATCTGAAATGTAAAATTTAAAGAAACAATCTGTGGCATTGAAACTAAAAAGGTGATAATTCGCTCATTTAATAATAGTAATAAGTCCAGGCCTCTGCTTTCTGATAAAGTGGTACGCAAAGTAAGATGTGAGAGCAGCTGAGTGTGTTTCGTGCTGTAATCACGGAAAATTCCCTTTTGAAAACCTCGAGTGTTGTCAGGGCTTAACTGGGCATTTCGCCAAAACCAGCGAGAGAACTCCTGCTCAAATCTCTGCACATTTTTGCTACCACCACAAGTCTTAAAATAGCATTGAATTTGTGTCTGCATCCTGTTTTATTCCAATCCGCATATCCTAATGATTACCCCAGCTTTTAATGTGTTTATACCTTAGAAATTTTAGGGGCACGGAAATATCCTGGAAAACAGATCTGATATGAAAAAACTCTTTTGGTCCAGAGATTTTGGATCCAGAGGAAACAAAAAGGCATCTTTCCCAAAAGTCTAGAGGTTAACTGAAGGCACTCCCGCCCCTCTCCCTGGAAGCCTTCTGACCTAGATGCCTTCCTGAAGGAAACCTGTGGCTTTCGATGCCACGATCAATGTTGCCTCAAGGCAAAACGCTTGCAATTTTTCTCATAAGGCTTCTTATTTTTTCTAGTCCAATCAAATTTAGTGTTTCCAGAGGTTTTGATGGCGGGTTAAATCCTTCTTCTTTGTCACGTTTATGCAAACTGTCTTTTGATGTCCGTGAGAATACTAGCATGAGTAGATGAAAACACGTTCTGACCTCCTCTCTCATCCGTGCAAATATTAGAATATTGCTCTGTGCTTACCTTATTTCACATCAGCTACAGGAAAGTCTGGTACCTAAAAGATCATTCTTATTACCCAAATATTGGCACTTCATATAAACCAAATAAAGGACTTATTAGAAGGAGGTGTGCTAGTGTGCTAGCAGAACACCAAAGTCAAAATGAAATCACCTTCTGACTAACAATAAGGAGGAAGCATGAAACAAACCTCAGAAAGAAGGGTGCTGTGATGGTGTTTACTGGCACCCTCCAAGTAGGATTTGTGGGACGCCTCCAGCTTACCCTAATTTATGGTGGTGCACACATTTGCTGCAGGCACTTGCTCTTCTATAGGTGCCTGTCTTCCAGGGTATGATTTATATTGCTCTTACAGAATCAGTTCTCACAGAAAATGCTGACTTTAAGAAGGAAAAGGCAGGTCATAGAGAGTTAATTCCTTTCATGTGGTTTGGTTTTTTTTTTTCCCCTCTTCATACTTGTGCGCTGTGGCCCAGCAAACTCTGACAGAGCTGGCACAACCTGCGGGCCACCTCAGTGCTGCAGACACCACCTCTTATATAGCACCCTGTCTGGCAGCTGAGCTGCAGCAACTGGCACATGCTGCTAACCGTGCTCCAGTGCAAATCCCGAGCTTGCTGCGTTAAAATTACAGGAATTGGCTAATCAGGAATGACATGGGGACACAATATTTTCTGTACATCTGCTCCGAGTTGGGAATGCGATTCACTGTATATTAAATGAAGTGTAGGTGTGCACTCAATCCTACACTCATAGAATAATTGCAAACAAATGCTGCGTGTCTGTAAAATGTCACCAAAATATAACAGTGCATATTCAAAATAATGATTTAACCTTTTAATATGGTGTTTTGTAAAAGGGACTGTCACTCAGGCTTTCTGCTGTTGGAAAGGACTGTTCATAGGCTGAATTGCGGGGACGGCAGACCAAAGTGACACGCTTCAGTGGCACTTTCCCTGCCACTGAAACTATGCTCTCTTGGGCCGCTGAGCAGAGGTGTTGTTTTCAGTAGACCTGTGGATGTTCAAACCACAGTTAGATGTGGCCCGCTGTTGTACACCCATGAACTTGTTAGCCTTAACTTGCCACCTCCGCTGCTCAGATACTCTGCTACGTTTCTTGTGGTGGCATTGCTTATGTCCCCTTATTTGCCGGGGCCAAAGTCAGTTGAGAGGTAGGGATGGAAGTAGGATGTTTGGAATGGCCCCGGTGCTGTCAGTAAGAGCAGGTAGAAACCTTAGGGCACCCAGACCAGCAGGTAAAATAGGTAAGAAGGTAGCAGAAGCCTTCATCCAGCATAGTTCTGAAAGAGAATGGGGCCCAACAGCTCCGTGAAGAGAGATGGGCTTGGGGTTGTTGTCCACATGCTCCTTTATGCTTCTTCCTGGAGAAGGTCCCAACTAAACAACTCCTCCTGATTAGTGGGGTACACCAAAAAACAGAAGAGCGGCGTAGGGAAGAGAGGAGTAGTGTAACAAGGCACATGAGGCAGAGGTAATGATGTGAGAGAATTATGTGATAAACAGCAGGATGGGAAATGGAGTTACAGGTGGCCTAAGGATGACTTCATCACTGTTGTACTAGAGCAATGCAATTAAATAATGGGACTTTTGGAGCAGTTTTTCAGAGTTTTGGTTCAAGAAGCAAGCCAGAAGATCTGACAACATGGTATATGTATTTGTTCTTTCTTGGCAATGAGAAGTTACTCCTTTGAAGTAAATCACAGATACGGGTCCAGAACAGAAGAAAATACCACAAAGAAATTTAAAAGTTGTGATTAACTCCTTCTTGAGAGTAATGAGTGATTTGAAGTACTTTGTGGTGGTAGAGACTTTAAAGGCTTGTGTTTGCAAGAATTAGGTGATATAAATTGCCAGCCTTCATGCCAGTTAAATCACTTTCCTCAGGTTGTTCTAGAGTTCGAACATTTGCAGCTGCTCAGCGTGTGTGTGTTTCTATGCACACGCACAGGTATATTGTTTTGTTTCCATCATAAGCTGCCTTTCTGACCGGCTCCGTTCATTATCTTGTTTCATTATTATAACATCAGATTGCAGAGAGGTTAGGGGCAAACACACGTAAATGGTGAAGGTCTGTCCACTTTCATGTTCGTTTCTGTAGTACATTTCTGTATTAAACAATCTATCTGATGTTCAGGTGTCCCACTGAAATAAAGGGATTCATGTTCAGCATCCTCATGAAATAAGCCAAGCTCTTCTGTTTCATTCGAACTTTAAAGCCTGCGTAGTCCTTGTTTAAACTACCAGAGAAAATTACTTTTACAAAAGCCTGAGACAAAGTTAGTGGCAAATGTCCTTATTTTTCAGGTATTCTATAAGGCCACAAGGCCTAAATTTCTAACCGTCTTTCACAAAGTCAGACAAAATATATATCGGTTTTCTTTTTTTTTTCCTGTGCACAGTAGCATACGTCAAGATGCAAACTTAAGCTGAATACTTGCAATTCACAAGGAGTAAAAGCATTTATGCTGTGGGAGTAAGATTTCATGTTTGCAACGTGCAGAATGTCCTGGCCTCAATGTAGTAAAACACTTAAGCGTATGCTTAACTTTATGGGTGGTGTGGGAAGAGAGGATAGTTACATAAAAATCTCTTACGCTCCATTTCCTTGAACATCATATTAATTCTCTGTTGAAGCTCAATTCCCACGATTACCTATTTCCCAACATTGTTGAAGTGAAATTTCTTAGCAAATAGAATTTTATGCGTTGAAAAGTTCTTTTGAATAGAATTAGGGATTTTTCCTTGAAAACTTAAATCCAAATTCATAAAATAGAAACTATGTGCCCTTGTACAGCAGCCTGACTCCTTGCTCCCGCTACCCTGTTTGGGCAGTTCTAGACCTTCGCTCATCTGATGATTATATCTTCTTCTAATTTCCCATCTAACCATATTCATGACCTGTGCACATCCACTGTACAATGATATTCTCTTTTAACTTAATTATTCTTCTCTCATAGCTAATGAAATTAATTTCTAAAGAATGGTTGTACCGTCTCTCAACTTTCACAGCGCTTGTGAAGTGCTTTTGACATCTCATAATATTTTTCCATTCCTATGATTGCCATTTTTCTGTACCTGTTGCAGCTATATTACAGTATTTTGAACACAGTAAGCAAAAACTGTACGTAATATTTTAAACTTTTTCAACATGGCTCTTCAGATACCTGGTAAAATCAAATACCAGTGTGCTAACTGGATAAGGGCCCTAGGTTGCACGGTTTTGGGTAAAAAGGCTGCCTGTGTTCCTGCTCGTCACCAACATATTTTTAGGTATCGTATTGCTGGGATGCGATCGAGCTTTTGCAACATCAGCAGATACATGGGCTTGACATCTACATAGAGTAAGCATCTGGAGTAGTATTTTATTGTGGTTGAAGCAAGCTGTTGTGATTAATGTTTTGTGTCATACAGTGAAGGAGATTAATGCACTATGTATAGCATGTTTCCTTATCAGGTGGAAGCAGAAGGAAGATCCTGGTACTGCTGAGCAGTCTCTCGCTGTCAGCAAAACCATGCTGGGGGACCGTTAGGGCTGGTTACGTAGCATCTTGGAGTTTCGTATTTTCAGGCTGTAAAGCGTTTGCATTTGGTGGCTGGCATAACTGCTAAAACATATTCCCTTTCAAGTTACCAGGTTGATAATGGGATGTGTATTAATAAATCAGTTGCCAAGTGGTTGATTGGGAATTTCCTTATTTGCTTTTAGTTCTAAGGCAGCTTGTATAGAAGTAAGTTGTTTGGGGTCTTGTTACGTTACGGATGCTGAGTTTCAGGTGTCTCTGCTTGTAGTGTCCAGGCTCCTGGGAACGATCGTCCTAGTTTCTGGAATTATGTCAAATTTACCATATAAATAC